CCAGCCGGCGGCTGCATCCATGAGAATATCAGCACGTGAAGTGCAACACTAATGCAACTGATGGGCACCGATGGGCGTGGGGGATGTCAAGGACGTCGTGATAACGTCACGACAGCGCCGCATGCAGGCATGCTCAACACTCATTGCTTAATGTCGTGGGGGATGTCAAGGACGTCGTGATAACGTCACGACAGCGCCGCATGCAGGCATGCTCAACACTCATTGCTTAATGTCGCGGCAGCAGCGGCAGAAGTATGACCAGTCCCCGGGGGGCACTCGGCCCCCCAGCCCTTGGCTCAGGGCAAACCTCGCGACGGCGGGAGCGACCAGGATGGACGGGCGGACCGCCGCCCGATTCTAGCTCGGAGATGGCCGGCTACGCTGGCCAACGCTGGTCAAGGATGGTCGTGAGGACGCCATGCAGACCCGCCTGGCCGCGGAGGGTGGACGGTGGTGCCAGCGCGGCCGGATCGCCACGTGGCCCTCGTGGCCCTCGGGCCCCGTCGCCGGGATCCGTGGATCGACCGACATTGGCGCGGGCGGGCGGCTCCGGACGCACCCGGCTGTGGACTCGCGCACCCCAATGCCGGTCACGTCGGCATGAGGTTGAGGCGCCCCTCTTCCACCCAACGCCGAGTCACGGACGAGAGTGCGTGGGAGTCCTTTTTGGGGCATGGCCCCACAACACCCCGTCTTCGTGGCAACTAGCGGCTTATGTTACGGAGAGCCTCTTCCCGCTCTCTTCCCCGCCATCGGCACCATCCAGCGGCCCACATGTCACTTCCAGCGTCCGTTGGCGGGCAAGTGGCGAGCCGCACGCGAGCGCCAGCGCCCAGCAGCCAAGTCCTCCCGCCCGCAGTCATCGCTGACGAGGCCCCACCTCAAATTTCGGGGGCAGGATCCACTTCAGATAATTGTAAGGGGGGTCCGCGCCCTAGGCTTCGCGAATTCCTGATGCAGGATTCAGGGATCCACATCGCAGGTGTCGGCGCAGCGAGAACTCATACGGCAGAGCCGATGCGCCAAGAAAGGCCCCGTTCCGTTCACACGCCAATCCGCCGTCCTGGCCCCGCGTCCACCGGCCCGCCCCCACCTCTGGGGCCGCGCACCCGTCGATCCCGATGCAAGCAAACGAGTCGCTGGCTCACTGTCTCACGCCATCCCCACTGCTCCCTGAGTTCCCCCGCTCGCAGCCGCCACGCACACTCGTCGCTCGCGCCGATCGATCGACCGCCTCCACCTGCCGCCCCCCGCCACCCCTACATTGTCCGCCCGTCGTGGGTGCCCCCAGGTTCCCCATGCACGGAGGCTAGCCCGAGCGCCGAATTGCATTTTCCACAGTCAGCCCGCCGTCCCCCCACCCCCACCCCCGGCCCCCTTCTCCCTATCCCCCCCCGCCCCCCTTCCTTTCCTTTGCGGTGGAGATCGCCTCAAAGGGCCCCGAAAATTGCGCCGCCGCAGCGTTACCTGTTCCGCGGGTGACGCCGCTGCTCTGTGACGCGTCTCGGGGTGTGTTGTGTGCCGTGCGCCCGCTGTGGCTTAGCAGCGATCGGTGACGGCGCCCTTGCTGTGCATTGCAATTTTGCGATAGCGATATTTATTGCTTACATTTATAGCGAGATTTACTCACCGATATATTTCCCGTATTTATCGATATTTGCTGATATTACCGATAATATGCGATACCATATTTAATACGGTAGGGCAGCCCACCAAGAGAAGCCATGCTGTTGGGAAATGCAAACGCCGGAATCCTCAACCAACCCTGAACCCGACAAGGGCATGAAATCGACCGGATGGACGCGCACCAACAGAAGGCGCTGAGTACATGTGCGTGAGACAGCCCACGATTTTTGTCGGATGCACATTTCTTTGCATGCAACTGAGGCTCTGCCTTTTTCGTCCCAGACTTGCAATGGTAATGATGACTAATTGAACGAGTTTGGGTTCGGAGCATGAAGTCGACGTGGCTGGAAGCAGCGTTTTTGTGCGATCTGTCTTGCAGATGTTGGCAACCAGTACAAGACCCTGTCGCTGGCAACATTCTTCCAGGGTTCGCTGCAAGTGCTCTATTCCATGTGTGGTTCGCGCATTGCCTTCTTCCAAACCGATGTTCTATCCAAGCCGGAATGGCCGTTTTAAATGTAGACATGGAGAGCTACACACACAAACGAACGCACCCAGAACAAAATCAGAATGTTCTCATGACCGGCAGCGATTTAATCCATAAGTCCGATAGTTGGACAATGCCAGTCGATCTTCCCCATTCGCAGTCCAAAACGCGCAAACTGTCCAAATCGATTCGCCACTAGAATGTTGTCATCAACCGATTGGAATACCTCTAGTACTGCGCGCTCAAGATAGCTCTATCGTCGGCTCCTGAGTCTCAGAAGGCGATGTTGGTGGAGAGCACAACATCTCGAATGCCTGGTCTTTGCTGGTCGACTTCGTGCTCGGCAGTTTCTTCTGTCCCCGAGAAAACACAAACACCACAACAGCTAACAGCTTTGTCACAACAGTATTGAGACTACCAGCCTGAATTCCTTTCTGCCTCAGAAAGGGATCGATACCCTGTGCCAGCTCTGCCGCCAGATTTACCACGAGGTACACAAAGACACCCACAATGCAAGAAACGCACGTCACGGAGACGGCGATCGAGCCCAATGAAGAAGTCTTTGGGTTATTGAAGATGAGCCCCGAAAAGAACGCCACGCAAGAGCCCACGAGAGACAAGAGCTCCATCCTGTTCAAATTGGGGCCATCTGTGACGAACGGCTGCGCCAACAAATGAACCACAACGGCGGCCACCAGTACTGCGAGTGCCAGCGTGGATTGGAGGTCTGCTCCGAGCGACTGCTTGAACACCGCAATCGCCGCCAGCACCGCTTTTCGAAGCATGATAACCACCTCCCAAAGCCGACGCCCTTTGCAATAAGACTGGTACAGAAAGGCGTGCGTTTCAAGACGCGCCTCCCTGTCGAGATGGTTTCTGTTCCGAACAAATGTGGCCACCAGCCACAGGGGCATCCCCACAGTGACCAACAATAACAAAGGCACTGCGAGACCCATAACTAATCCCGAGTGACCGCCCACGTGGCACTTCACCTCGGTGTCTTCCGCCCAGTACTCGGACAGGGCAATTGCGTAGTCCTCGGAGTCCACGCCACCCACATCGACACCGGTGCAACCCAATGTTCTGAACGCATTGCGTGTGATGTCAATGTACGAAATGTACAGGGTTGATACCACAGACACTTTCCAAATTAGGAATACTTCCTTCCAGCTTCTTTTCGACAGCCAGAAAACAACAGGAGAGAAAATAAAGAAGGCAGTAATCAGGACAAAGGGGAAGATAAGGGCAGCCACCATGCGTTGCACTGATCGTCGGACGTTGCTGTTGGCTCGAAAGGCGCACTCCAATGAAAACAAGCCGTTGCTTCCGGCAGCCAGCTGATCTGCAAGGAAAACTTTCTCAAAATGACTTAGTACCTTCATTGTACAGGATACCCAATATTTCTTCTGGATGGAGATGAAACAGCGATCTTAAATACCGTTACTTGCACTGCTGTTATGCACTGATTGGCAACACATCCGCTCACAGTATAGCTTAGTGCCAAAAGCAATTTGCGACAATTAGATAACAAGTTTTTTTCTTTTGGCGTACGCTCAGTAAAGAACTTGAATAGATCTCGGCAGAATGTCCGTGGAAAGTTATGATGATGACGCGGTGGCGAAGGATTTCTGCTGTTTTGTTGGTTCTCTCGTAATGCAATCATTCTGCTCTTTCAATGCATTGAATATATATAATTTCACGCTGTTGCATATATTTCTATGTGTCTCTTGCTTGCAGTCGTTCCATGGTGCAGGAAGTGTCCATCACACATGCCTGAAAGCGGGGAATGGGCGGGCGGGGTGGGGGGTGGGGAAGGGAATGGCATTCGTGGTTTTCGATTGCAAGATAGAAGACTCTGGCTTTGCCAAGGCTACACACCACGTTCAGACTCTGTGGCAAAAGGATAGTTGAGGAATGGCAAGTTATCCACAGTCTCAATTATTGTTCAACCATGAACCTTGCGACAGGTCTCAAGGGGGTATGCAACAGGTCCCTGTACGTTGAGTAGAAGCTTAACTTCAACTGCAGCGGGGGTGACACTCGACGACGTCAGCATGGCAAAGATCCTAGCTGTTGCCAACACCAGTGCCTGCGACGGCCATTCACTGATAAAAAATCTGCCAAAGTACACGGTCATTGTGAAAGTCACTCAAAAAACGAATTTAACATTCCTTTTTATTAAGTGACTTTATGTAATGACTTTAGGCACTCTAGATGCTAAAATAGGTTATTTTGGGCATTTTCAATGATTAACTGGTTGATAGGGGGAAAAGCTGAGTTTAAAAGATTAGTCATATTTTAGTCATGTTTTAGTCATTCTTAGATGTGATTAGTCATGCTGAGTCATGTTTAGGCGACGAGCTGTGCGACTCCATATGAGAATATGCATGGAATATTCCAAGAATATTCTTAAGGAATAATCCCAATATATTCCAAGAATCTAAGGGTATATTCTTAGGGGTGCGCCAAGTATAAATGAAGAGGCTCTAAGTCCATTCGAACATCCAAAAAAGCCTCACCTTGGAGCCCTTGGCCTAGAGCACTCCAAGAGGAAGTACTCAAGGGTTATGAAGAATGAAGGGCTCTCTCTTTTATAGCTAACGGGGCGTTGGAATGGGAGCTGGGGGGAATCTATGAATGCGAATGTTTGAAAGGCGTTTGTAAAGGTTACATGAAGAAATAGAAGTTGTACACAACGTTTCGTATGGGTTTGTAATGGAAAAGAGGTCTTTACATCATGTTTGGTATAGGTTTGTGGTGGTTTACATTAAATCGACAATAGCATTTGAGCGGGTTTACAAGTAGAAGAATATTCTGGGTATATCCTTAGGATATTCTGTTGGAAAGATAGGGCGCTTGGGGTATAAAAGCAAGCGTCAGGTGTCTGTTTGGCAACCTGAGCCAAACCGAGCAGCCTTGAGAGCAAGCTCGGGGGGAATAGAACCAAGGCATTTTGTATTATGGACAAATTCTAAGACCTTTTTGGCATGAAATCGGGTTCATTTTCGGCGCCATGATGCCTCCGAGCGCACTTTAAAATGGGCCCACCAGGCCGGGGGCTGGATAGTGGTTGTCCGAATCTCACAGTCATGAAATTCGTGTACCATGTTACGCGTGTCAAAATGGTGTAAAAATCGTGTGGACATCGTGTACCGATCGTGTAAATACGCATTTGCCGCTGGTACATTGTTGAAACCGTGTAAAACCGTGTGCTTTGTCGTGTTGTTAATAGTGGTAAGGTGGACCACTTTCGTGTACTACACAAGGTTGAAAACTACGCGAATTTAGCAATCGTGTAAAACACCCGATTTGCACACTATTTTAACACGATTTTGTACAATTTCACACCGTGTAAAATGGTGGAATTCTTACCAGTGGTTGTTGGGAATCACAAAAAAAGAAGAAAAAGACGGGGAGCGCCTATCTGTTATTAATTACACCAATATTCGTGACTGACATGGGATGGGCCACGCCGAACAGCTTGGACATTTCCAAAAAGTCAATTCCGCAACAGGGAGAACAGAAATGAAAGGGGAAGGGGAAAGGCACGTGGATGGGCACTGAGGCGGGCATACCAGGATCTGAGAGCCACCGCAGTGCGCTTCTAGTCGAAGCACCTAGCTAAAGCAATGTTTGAACAAAATTCCAGTGTTTTAATAAATTCCATCTTAAAAAACAATTACATTCTTGTGTTGGTCAGAACATTCATAACATTAACCACAATATCATGTCCGATTCCCACCTGCTGTGCCTAGCGTCCTCAAAACAGCCGTGCTCCATGCAGTATTGACGAATACAGCAAGCCCAGTCACTTGCAAGAAATTTATGAGGATCTGCAAAGCCGGAAAGTCTATCAGCACTTGGAACCCAAGTCATATTACCCCCCACCCCCCACCCCGGAGATCTCGATGGCAATCAAGCACAGAAGTGTGCCAGCGGGAATGTTTCTACAAGACTAAAATTGGGTACGCAGAAAAGTAGATTTTCTCTCGCGGATATTTGCTGCCACAGTCGTATTTAGCCCACAGTATATGTTCCATGTAACTTCTTTTGGAACCTTCAAGTCTGCAACCAACTGTATGGCAATTCCAAGTTGCATGATAAGAGCAAGGAAGTCCTGCAGCATTTCCAAAAGATTCAAAAATATTGGGCAAAATGCCCAGCCCACCAGCGCAAACGGAACCACTCATACATTTGAACCAGTGCTTTAATGTTCGTGCTAGTATCCGAGTGTTGCGAGTCGGCCAGTTTACCTTAAATATGTCAGAGGCGTAATTCCTGGTTTTGCATGTGACAGTGGGTTCATTCCTTGGAATACCAAGCGAAGGCGTAGAGTGCAAAGCTGCTCCCTCGATGGGTAAGCGTAACGATTGGCAGGAGCTGGCTGCTTCGGGATGGTCCACAGCATTTCCAGTGTTGTGGGAGCCGCCCTCTGGGGTTTCTTCATCGATTTCTTTTGCTGTGGATGTAGCTGCATTTCGGGTCATGATGACTGCGAGCAATGCTGACCAAAAGGCGGCAAGGCTTGCCAGAACAATGTTCTTGGTCCTTCCACCGCATCGAATACATTCCCCCGATCTCACTTTGCCATGAGCATCTGTGCAGGCGCCGCACAGTATTCCAGCATATCCCTGAGAGCGCCCACATTCATTCAGCTGTGCAACACGTCGTCGACACGTAGCGAGGTATTCTATTCCGTAACATACTGAGCACATGAGCGATTAAAGGCAGTAGCCCCTAAGTGTATCTTTGCACTTCTGATTAACTTCTGCAAGGAGAAGACGCCGCCAGGGGCCAGAACATTGCCTCAGGTCGAAAAATGCTGGGAATAGAACATGTCGCCAATGGCCTCTCGCAATGACAAAACACTTCCTAATCAAGGCATCTGCTATTCATGCGGCATTTACCAGCAGCCTTCTGCATGATTCAGGAGTATCTTACGACTACAAGATTTTCCACCAGCACCCTGTAGAGAAGAATGGGGCAAAATATATGGCATGAGAAAAGGCAGGAACTGCAGAATGGGAGTGGATACACAGAGTTGCTTGTGAGAGGTCCACACCTCTACCTGGTGGGTTTATGCGAACCTGGGTCAAAAATGCTGACACGTGTTCCAGAATCACATTTTCCATATTTGACCTTTCCAAGCAGCTCACGAAGCACATCTGCACAGACCCGAGAAGTTATGGCGATTGCGTTGGCCTGCATTACGTGTATCCAGTAGTCCATAAGCAAATCCATCAAATTGAGTTTTTTCAAGGGTATATGGGGGCGGTTTCTGGGTGCAGTCTTCTCTTGAATCTGAAAACAACATCAGCAACGCGCTACTGCATCCATCCAACGGAGTTTCGTGTCAGCTGCATTAGGTTCTTACCACGGTGCATTGTTTGTAGCCTGCGTCGTCGTACTTCAAGGCTGCCCCTTCAAAATGTGCTTTCCAGGATTGCTCTGTCAGCCTGCGCATTCGGCCCTCATAACTGCAGGCATCCTTCAGAGCACACTCGTGAATCTGTGAGGACTTGGATGTGGAATGCCAATAGAAATCATGAGGTGTTACAGTGGAGGGTCTGCACTTTGCCATCAAAGGGCATGCAGCGCACTCAGCAGATGAATCAAAGCTGTACTGATCATCTGGGCACGTCGTGCATCTCTCTCCATCATCACTTGGAGCCTCCCCTGGAAGGCATCCTCTGATGTGTACCTCGATTCGGATGCTTGGCAAAATTGATGGAATAAAAGTCAAGTTCAGCATGTGCGCCTTGTTGATTGCTGCTTGCAAGCGTATGCTCGTGATCTTTGTGCTTGCCTCGACTGGTCGAATGAGTTCTCCTCTCAAAACTGCTTCTCCTTCAGTGGTGGATATTCTTGCAAGCATGGGGGGCTGTCCAAATGCAGGATGGTCCAATGCATCTATCAGATCCATGGAAATCGCCTCCAATTCCCCGCCACTTGTGTGGTTGTCTATTTGAAGTGCATGGCTTCCATTGGCGCATGCTCCTGACGAAATTCTGCAGATCCTTACCTTCACAGCAGTTGTAGCCAACAAATTCCCTCCACCATCGGACCTTGCCATATTTCCACTACTGCAGCTGTGGGCAATGTCCAAGATACCATCTGTCAGCGGCCTTCTCACATCCACCACGCCAGGGCGATTACGTGCACCAGGAGCATATTTTTCCTCAATCTCGACATCAGAGTGGCACAGTACCACTAGGTCCTCAGGAACATTGGTAAAGAATGCTCCACCAGCCAGGACAGCAACGTTCTCCGTAAAGTTGCATCGTGTCACCAACATGTATCCTGGGAGCCCAGCCTCAGGAGAACTCATGTCCACCAGAAGATACAATCCACCTTGCAAGAGAGAAGTTGAAGTGAGAACTTTTTTGACGTGTTCCAGTGTAATGAAAGTCTAGTAGCATATTTGGGCTGTGTCATCCAACAAATGGTGCTTGACATCTGCTTCCTGCACCTGGTGAAGGGATACAACTTTCATGTGATTTGTGCAAGACAATGCATATTTCGTCCCTGGAAGTTGGTGCATATTGATGCTCCTATCAAGGAATGGCAAAATTATGAAAACCTTCATAACCTTGCAAATGAGATTTCTGCATTCAAATTTGCAGAATAATGCGAGAAATGCAGCCTAGGCATCACCTAAAGATGCATTTCATCTTTGGAAGATGACGTCCATGCACATATGTTTTCAAAATTTCAAAATTTCAATAATATTTGGACCGCCAGATCAAACAGGCTGTTTCACAGAGAAATTCGCCGCACAGAAGTGCAACATACACCGCTGCATTTGCAGCACTATCACTAATATATGGCAAACGACCTTTATCCGCAGCTGCGAGAATGGACGAGTTTCCGTCAGCTCCTTGGTGAGCTTGCAGCGATTACCGCACAACAAAGATCTGAGGCTTCTGTACAAGACTTGGCTCGCTCTTTGGACCACACAGGAGTGTTGATAATTCACAGGTGTAACCCAGTGCAAATTTGTGTGGCTTTCACTTCCAATAGCAGTGTCACAAGGATGGCGAAATTTGCGCACCTCCAACTTCGGCCGTGTTCCCATGAAATGTGGAAAGATTTACTCGTGAATGAAGCCCGAATTTGAACCTCGCAGTCTGAGGTATCTGAACGTAAATTGCGCCTCCGTATTCCCTCGCAGTGTTGTTATCGAATTCTCCATGTACGATGTCTGCGAGAGAATTACTGGCATACAAAGCCCCGCCTTTGCTTGCTCTGTTAGCTTTGAATGTTACCTCCCTTGCATGCAGAGCTGCTTGTTCCGCCAGAGCCACAGCGCCTCCTGCTCCATTTGAAACTGAGGTGACGAAATTGCTGTCAAAAACGCATTTCCTGCAACCCAGTCTTCCACGCTGGACAGCTAGAGCACCTCCAGATATCAGTCCACTGTTGTTGGAAAAGTGGGCACGCTCTAGAAATATGTCGTCCTCGTTGTTGTTGATCCCGTTGTCCAGAACGTTGGATATGTTGACAGGAGATATCCCCGTCCTTTCAAGAGGTGCAGTTCCCGAGTTCACTAGAAGAAACAGAGCCCCACCGTTCTTGGTTGCTGTGTTCCGTACAAATTCAAGGTTGCTTCCATTGACGTAGTTTTCAGGTACAGCGAATTGTTGTGGATCTGGATCTCCATCAGATTCGATGTACATTGCGCCACCATCGCTTCCCCGATTTTGGGTGAAATTCACCGACTGCATGGACAGAAGACCTACAAGTAAGCCCGCAATCGCACCCCCTTTTCCACCCTCGTTGGCAACGAAATTGACGCCAATCAATGTGCATGAAAGCTCTCCTCTGGGTCGCCCAAGACGTGGTTCTATGATAGGAATGGCGAGAATTTCAGTGGCCATGTTGTTGCTAAATTTGTTAGCAGCAGGTCCTGTTCGTGCTCTTTTGTTGGCAAACCTCGCCTGTTGAAATGCCGCCTCCGAACCAGCGAACATTGCCCCGCCCCAACTCGACTCATCTGGACTGGGCCGCGTGTTCCTTGGCTGCTGCTGGAGTAGCCCCGCAGAATTGTTTGCGAATTGTGTTCGTTTGATGAACACGTACGCTTGTGAACCAAACTCGTATGGAGTCTGCAGAACAACGGGCCATAGAAATGTGTTACTGTATGCGGCTTTCGAAATTCCGCCGCTGCACGCATCGCGCTCAGCTTGTTCATTACAACATAAATACAGATCGCATGTACGTTTTAATACGTAGAAGTAGTACTTAAGTTTTTCGCCAGCAACATTCCTAAAAATGAGCGACCAAAGACCCGCCTCCACAAAGACAACGCACTAAGCCTGTAGGAGTGTGGGCAGTGAGAGCCAGATGCGCTGGAGTGAGCAAAAAGCGATATATCGTTCAACGAAGTTGTTGCCCTTTCCGAGGATGAGGTGGATGCTGTGTTCCGCATGCGTGAGGCGGGGGGGACTGATCATTGTCGCGACGTCATCACATAATGATGTACGAATAACAGTCGTGAAGATGGCCCGTTTCTCTGTTTTTGCCATTTTTATGCGTAAAACGTAAACGCAAAAATGATGCCATAAACGCAAAAAACAAGCCGGGTCGCGGCTATGCTCGAATTGCACATGATGCAGAGCACTGGTCCAATAGACTTGGCCATGCTCGCTGCACAAGCAGAACTGATCAGTTCAACGTGCATTCATGCAATCGTTGTGCAGATCTGCACTTGTTCATGATTCATTGTACGCAGGTACTGATTTTTGATCCCCCTGCATTTTTTGCTGTTTATTCCGTGGACTTGGCCTCATACAACATTTTGCTGGTTGCATCCTGATGTGCATATGCTATTTTAGCCACTGGCAATAATTTCGTACAAATTCTATTCGCGTAACATTTGCAATGGATGCGCAACGATGTAACGGATGATGAACCAAATTTGCTTTTACGTTTTACCAGATGCATTGAACAAACTTAAAGAGCCAAAATCCCAATACTGAATTCTCCTGAGCACACCCTCAGATGAAATGCGACACCGCACTTCATCAGAATCTGCGACCGCACTGATTGGAAAACCCAGGTGTCTTCTGGACTTGCGCCAAATTTCAGCATTTGGATTTAAATCGCATTGGCATAGAAATCCCTTTTAATTCCTCACAACATGGTGGATTTTATTGAGTGACAGTGGAAATACAGACAGGCAACTTTCTGTGCCATTTCCAAGTCTTGCTTTAGATCACATGAAATACACCTCTTCACAAACGTCTTGTGGCCTCAGCAAACAAGGTACGCAGCATGCAGTAAGTACTGCACGCGGCAAGTTTGTACATTGTGCAAATATGCACTTGTCAAATGCAGGCGCAACTGTTTAGCAGGTCCATCTTGAGATACCGCCATCCAAAAGCGTGCATGTGACCTGCAGGTCGAAAGCTATGCTGTTGCACGGCTTGTGCTTTGTTGGCTGCAGAGCAGCCATAAAGGAAACAATTCCGAGTGCAGGAGGAATCCAAGTAGCCCTGCATGTTGGGTTTCCACACAGGGCAGATGTCGCCAAGCAAACCACAAAGCAAAATGCGTGGATGTAATTTCAAGTGTGTAACAATAATATCGCGTGACGGCATGCAGAATGATCGTGAAAATCCTAGGGAACATTGAACAGATTATTGCGCTGCTGAAAGGGGATAATCCATGTGATGATATGCATCGCACGTGAGCACTCACCATAGCACTCAAGGCGCCGCCTCCCACGACAGCAGCATTGAGGCTGAATATGCAACCCTCCATGTGCACACTGGCTTGGAGCTGCACCAGAGCACACAGATCTCAAAAGCTATAAATATATCGTTCAGAGCTTGTAATCAGCGACAACAACGAGATTTATCTAAAACGCATACTGATCTCTCTTGACAATCCACAGATTCGCGCCCTTGAAGGTATCCTGACTGCCCAATTTTCGTTTACCCGAGCCTGCATGACACGGCTTGCAAAGCCGCCACTGTTACTATTGTGCTAAAGTGAAGTACCGCAAATCACGGAAGCTAGCGCGGAGGGTGTTGAATAGTGCGGAGGACTTTAGATAACGGCCCCGGCGTTATCAAACACGGCCGGTGTTGCAGAGCGCGGGGGGTACGCAAGGTAGCACTATTCACTTCAACATCACGTACAGCCACAACGCAAAAGCGTTTTCACGCATTAATACATCTCATTGCATATATTAGCACCCCAGTGTTATCAAGTTTCCCCCAACTGAATACTGCCATAACATTCCTCATTCAATCAAATACTACGTACCCAACATTCTCAGCGTCTAGCTCCATACTGCTATCAATCAAACTAAGGTCATCGGGATCTCCAGGCTGTCTCTACTGCAGCGCAACGTCCCAATCATTGGGACAGCTATGATTGCTGTTATTGTTGGGCGCTGTGATTGGCACCTTATGTAATGTTATGTTATGCTTTGAAATATGCCACATTGACCAGACTCCCGCTCGCTTTGCCAGTCAATTTTAAAACACGGGTGGCGTGGCATAATGCAGCGACCTGTCGCATACTTCTGCTTATTTTGGGGCCGGTTTTGGTTGCTGCCGTGAATGGCGCCTTATCTAACGCGCTAAATTGGTGGGGCGCCGGCACGCTTTGCTGCCGGTACGAGGGCCAGCGCGATAACGCGGGGGAGGGCGCTACTGAGTAAGGACTTCATGTGAACGCGGGGGGCACGGAAAATAGTGCGGGGGCATGCAAGGTAGCCCCCCCTCCCCCCGACTTTCTGACGCCAGCCCTGATCTTGAACGCGGGGAGGGGGGAGCTATCCTCCATGATCTACGGTACACAAAATTCAGGTGAACAAGATAGCTTGATGCAGGGTCGCAATTCCAATACGGGGTGGCAACGTTCACGGGTAAATAACTGCCCAAATTACACAGTCATGAAAACCGTGTACCGTGTTATGCGTGTAAAAGCGGTGTAAATTTCGTGTAAATATCCTGTACTTGACGTGTACTCATCACAAAATAGACGGCTGCCGCTGGTACACGGTTGAAATCGCGTAAAATCGTGTTATTTATCGCATTGTCAATGCTGGTGGTGGACCACTTTCGTGTACTACAAAGGGCTGAAAACTACACGATTTTAACGATCGTGTAAAATCGTGCTCCGAAGTACCCGATTTCAACACCATTTTAACACGATTGCACACCGTGTGAAATGGTCGAATTTTTACCAGTGGCTCCAAGCGTGCGTTGGCTTGCCAAATCCTGGCAACAGAATATAACCACATATCGCGCACAACGTCAATGTGGCAGCACCACCCAACGTCAATGTGAAAACATTCCTGCCAAATGGATCTTCCAATTGGTGCCACTCGAACACGCGAAACTGCATTAGAAGAAATTCTTTCTGCCTGCCCAAAGGGAATCAATGGTCACTCACCAACACAGCAAGGGCTCCTCCAAATTCTGCACTGTTGTTTGCGAAAGTGCAGCTGTGGGCTTCCACCGTGGATTTTCCCTGTCACATTTGCGCAAAAGAGCGTATTTTGTCGGCATGCAGTGCCCTCACCAGATCTGATTCAATTGACATTTTTGGGATTGGATAACTGTTGGAGATGGTATTGATACTCTTCCAGCTTGCATTCGCTGGACAGTGCGCTGCGCATTGAAATGCCTTATCATGCGTAACCAGCTGCGCAGCTTGGCAAGGTGCCTGTCGCTTCCAGTCTCATCCAATTTGGTGAACGAGCACGATCAAAACCCCTCTATTCTTAACGCAGAGCGCGCTCCACATGCAATTTTAACGCAAGCGAAATTTCAGAGAAACCGGATGCAATGATTGGCATTCGGTAGCCCTGTCCTGTTTCCACGCCTGAAGTTTCGATGGCAAGATCCAAATGACGTCGTAAAGGTGGTATCAAATATCGCCGTCCCAAAGGAGCGCAAAGCCAACGAGCAGTCGCTGGGGAAGAAATCCTTGATAAACAATCCGTGGGGGAACCAATAAGGAAAATGGAAGCAAGATTTTCAGGAATTCGGGTACTGAATCGTAAACACGATGTGCAAGATTTCTGCAGGTGCCCAAATTCGATGTTTTACTGTGTCTGGTGTGATGGGGCATTGCCGCAGCTCTTCTTGTCGTGTTCTAGCATAGGCATAAGTGCGCCTGCGAACGACACAGAATGTCGCCAAGGCCGTGGAAATGGCAGGCGTTCTGCGGTGAGACGAAATGACACCATTTTCAACAATGGCATGACTCAACACTCGTACACTGTCAATGCTGCACTGGCGGCCTTGTGCAGTAACGATACTGACACATTTGAGCTGTTGAAAAGATCTGGTTCATGTGGTGGAGCCCCTGTCATTGCCATGGTGGGGACTGCGGCTTCGTTTTGCCACGCAAATGCAAGAGAGTGTCCCATAACTGTGGCAATCTTCACTTGACATGGAATGAAAGTATATTGAGCAAACTGAGGGCATTTTCAGGGACTTCTCAGAGCAGTTGTGGCTTCACTTTCTCAAACATTGGCGGCCAGGTGATTTCAGAATCAATCTGTTGGATTTTAAACTTCCTTGCGATTGAAACGCCATTTTCTTTACAAAGTTTATCGTTAAGGTAGAGGGCAGCTAGGGCCGGAGGAAGCAGAGGTTGTCGGAGGAAAACCCTTCAAAAGATTGCCCGGCTTTTGGAACTGAAGTGAGGTTGATGAGATGAGCGCCATATGCCAGTCACTCATCTTGCATGGAACATGACAGCATGTTCATTGCCATATCTCTCACATGGACTGTGGCAGCTGAGATTTGCAGAAATGTCCTTGCAGCCATCCGTAGATGGCAATACTGGCAATCGGGAGAGGAAAGAGCTGAGTCAGACACAAATACTGTTTTTTTGCAAACGCTGCAGTGCTAAGATTGTGCATTTCGCTGTTGTGCACTGTATATATCCGTTCGGCATATTCAGTACAGCAGCATACACCCAAGCACTGCTCGAAATAGTAAGCTAAAGCATTTTGTGGAAGCCATACTCCGCTAGGCACAGGACGCAGAGGTAACATGGCAGCACTTTTCGTGAGTATATCAATATGTGCGAGCACCGAGAAACACAAGACAGTGCACCAACACATCAGCACCACGTTGACCAGCACCTTTGCAGCAATGGCCCCACCAACAGTGAGAACTCCAACGGCATCTGTGGCAGCTTCGTTGCTAGTGAAATCGCTGTTGCTCAATCGCACACTTGCATTCCATGCGAAAATGGCACCGGCTGACGTAGCTGTGTTGCTTTCAAAGGTGGAGTCGTCAATCGAAACTTGGAAAACGATTCCATCCGTCAGAGTGGAGAAGGTGTTTGACTGCTCCTGAATTACAGAGTTCCAGATTCAAATGGTACCTCCATGGAGACTGGGAACAAGCTTAAACATCAAGCATTTGTTTTTGCAAAGCATCTACAAATCTGCATGGTGCAATGCACTGACTTCCTTCAAGAAAAGAAACCGGGAGGCGCCATCTGCACATGGCAACGCTTGTTTGAATTTTTAGCCACTCATGGAGATTGAATGCAAGTAAATGTGAATCCTCTTTTACAAACCTGTGCCAAGTACGTTCTTCCAATTGACGTTTTTTAATAGCACATTCAGACACATTCAGTAACTTACCACAAAAAATATGGCTCCCCCATATGCAGCGGAATTGCGAAGAAACTGGCATCCTTGCGAAGCATTGAAACTTGCACCAAACTGCAAAAGATGCAAAATTACGTCGATCGTGCAGTTGGATACCGTACATTGCAATGGGCTCCCGCTCGCATGCACAAAAAGGGACTGCTGATGAGCGCAAATGTGAGCGATGGCTTTCAGAGCACTCAGGAATACATTGGGCAGATCATATTCTCGTTGATGGGGAATGTGCACAAACGAAGTTGAATCCAACAGTAGAGACGACCGTGGTACACCTGCAATTATTCCAGAACACAGTGGACATGGCCTTGGATTTCTACAGGATTAATAATCGAACACATGCACCTCGGGGTTATAGCACTGATGTGCCAGTCATTCAAGACCACAATAGTAGTGCTGGATTACAATTACACCTGAAATTGTGTGCTGGAATATATAGCATCCACCTGTTTGCAACAGTCTCAACCTTGCGGAGTCGCTCACCTGTCCGAAAATGGCTCCGCCAAGAGAAGCGCTGTTGTCCACAAAAGTGCAGTTTTGGACTTCACTAGTTGAATTTTTCTGTTGCCAGTCACCCGAGCGTAGTCAATAACAAACAGTACAAACTGCCGTACGCAATGCAAAAGATACTGCTCGGATTCAAGTCTGCAAAAACACATTTAAAAATGTTCCCATAGCTCAGACTGCAACTTCACACCAGGAGGAACATTTAGAACCCCCCATACAGATATGAATAATTCATGTCCGAGTTTTCATTCCAGTTGCAAGCCAACAGCTATTGAGAGTGCTCTCCACCATATCCAGATTGAAAGCTGCACCCAAGTTTTGAAATAATCAACACTGCGCCATTGAGAACTTGTTAGAAAACAGATTTGGAGCCATTTATGTTGGCGGTATCCATTGCTATTCTTCGATTTGCTCATGAATACGTGTTTGTAACCAAAAATAACTGTTGTAAAGAAAATCTCATTCGTTGCAAGGAAACTGGGACTGAGAGTCCAGCATGCTGCTGTTGCATCACATTCTACATCATAAATAGTCATCGGAGAGCCGTCCTTTGCATCAGTTGCCTCTAAATAGATCAACATGCAGTTGCTCTGCCTTTATTCACCATCGATCACTGAGCAGGGACAGGACATAGCACACTTGCAAGTATTTGCATGTACCCATGCGCAGGTGGAAATAAATGGTGCACCGTCACAGTCGGCACCATCAGCATTGCCATTACCTCTACAATGACGGCACCACCAGCAGGGATAGTACCACTGTTGTCTGCGGTAGCCGTGTTGTGCGTGAAGTTGCTGTTCTTCAATTTCATAGTTGCATTATAAACGCCGATTGCACCTCCACCCTTCAAAGCCATGTTGTCTTCAAAGGTCGAATTGTCAATCAAGAGTGGGGAAACCCTTCCACGCTTAATCGCGGATGAGGAGTTTGAGATTTCCTGAAAGCGCAATTCAAAGTGCACATGACAAATTTGTGAAGGTTTTGAAGAGCTGACACGGCACAGAGCAATGCAGTCTAACTGCGTTGAATTTTCCCCAGGGCCATCTTTGTACAGTGTGAACCACAAATACGACCATCTTTTTATTCCGGTGCACAACTGCGATGGCAGATCATAACATCATGGAAATAGTAGAAAAGCATGCGCACAGAGGTTCGGAACTTCAAAAGATGCAAACCATGCAAAGATACTGAAAGAGATGCTCAAATCCGTGCATTGTCAACCGCGACATACCAATACGTACACGGCGCCCCCAAGCACTGCGGAATTGGCCAGAAATTGGCATCCATGCGAGGCATTGAAGCTTGTGCCGGACTTTAAAAAGAAAGAGCACATACACCCGTCAGATTAACGACTAACCACTGCAGCCGATGCGCAACAAATTGCAAACGAATAATAACATTTCACCTGAACGAGAATGGTATTCTAGGGATGCATAGAGGGCATTCGATACTGTGTAGCGAATATTGCATATGAAGGCTCTGCCGACCAATGATCAACAGCGGGCATAGCACCTCATCCCATGCTGGTAAATACTGATACGTTTGTGTGGGGATCAGAAAATCGCGCAGCATGCATTTTCACCAAAAGGCTAGTAGTGATTCCAGTTCGTTGTTGTGCTGTCGCAAAATCAGCAAATCGCTGCAGGGAGCGATGCACAACGTGAGACTCACGGCAGCCACGGCAAATTCTGATGCCTTGCAGCGTCTGCATCTCGGTTTCCGATGGCCTACAAAACTCGTTTTCTGCCCCTTCCCGGGCGTCTGGCTGCCACTCTCCGGACTCCGTAAGTCTGCATGTACTGTCCATATGTACACCGGGCAGTTTTCCATGGCATTTACGTATTTTTATGCAATTTTAAACGGAAAAATATAAAAACTATCTTTACGTGTAAAAACGTGAATACGATCAGTTTCTACGGCGTTAAAACCAAGTCTGGCCCCCCCGCCGCCCCCCCTCCCTCCGTGGGCATACTGCGTATTTAGGGCAACAGCCGGCCGTATTTCCCACGCCTACAACACACCCACGTCTACATACACACATACCACACCCACTCTCACGTCCACAGTCCAACCGATTGCCCGTCCCACAGATGCATACGCAGTGCACATTACGCACGTTTGGTGAGGGTCTTGCATCTACATGCAATGCACCCTTGAACCCGATAACATCTGACAGCGTGTGTCCATTACACGCACAGGGCACGCAGCCTATCAGGCAGCATGTCTTATCCTGTGGTGGCTAGGCATTGGTGCGCTCAAGGGGCGATAAAGAGAAGTGCAGTAAAAGGCGCAAAAGAGACGTGGGAGCCGCAGGAAAGTGCGAGGAGGCACTTGATCTCCCCCCCCTCCAAACCTCGTGAATTTACGGCTCTGCACGTCGATTGAGCCCTAATTTCTGTGGGAAGGGGGGGGGGGGGGTATGCGAGGGAACCAGGTGGGGGGCAGGGAGAGGCGCGGGAGGCGAGCCGGGTTTCCTGAGGCGCGAGGTGGTGCATTGTTGGCCGGAGCTTGTCCTTTACAACATTCTTCAGCGTTTTAGATAATCGGCTTTGGCACCGTGCGGGCCCGGATCGCGGCCACCCGCGGGCTTGAGAAACACGAATATGGCCTAAAATATCAGTACAGTACAATACGTGTATCATCGCCTATTGTCGTTTCGGGCTTCAAAACATGCCCTAAAATATGGTAATTTTTTTTGCAATTACAGGTTCAATAACAGAAAAAGAGGTTGAAAAAACAGCATGCATTGTCAAAACAAATCAATCAGTCAGCATCCATATCTGACCCATCCATGGCACCCTTGTCCACTCGCTCTACAACAGCAACCGCGTTTCAGTGTTGGAGACATTCATCATCGCCAGTCACTCTTCGCCCCATCCACAGGGCGCCCAACCCCCCTTGCGATATGCAGATCGCAGGTCCGCGAGATGCAAATGGCGAGCCTCTTCCGGCAATTAGCTTATTTATGGGCATTTAGCGCAAATGCTCTAGAACATGTTCAAAAATACGAGCATTTGTTTGCAAAAATGCGCGTATGATTGTGTATTCTTTTGCTTAATCCCAACCGTATTTTCCAAGCCTGCCCTTGGGTGCTATTTCGAAGCCGGTTTGGGTGGCCACGATTGGCGTCCACGAAGGGGCACACCTGCAGGAGAAAGAAGCGTTATTGCCTCCCACACCCGCTGCATTTTCGCATTGCCTTTGCATGTGCATCCGTCCTCTGGGCGCCTCACAATGCCCATTTCTGTCGGCATTTTGGCTACGCGATCGTGTTCGATGTTTTGCAATATTTGCAGCAAATGTTACTGGAAGCGACGCCACTCGCATTATTGATAAAGCTTGACATTGAAGGACAACTTACCTGTCCAGAAAAGGCTCCTCCAAACGTGGAATCACCGTTTCTTTCAAAATTGCAGTTCTGAAGTTCCGCAGCGGAATTTTCCTGTTCGCATTTGTAAAATTCAACTAAGTACCCAAGGAATCAAGCGCTGGTAATTGCCATACATTTTACTGAAACGCAAATAACACAAGTTGCCACCAACATCTATCTTGCAGCGGTGTCCATCTTTAAATGTCGCTATCGCAGACAATATCTGGCAAGCCGATTCGGATGTCAAAATGTGTGCTAAAGCGCGTGGAGTCAAGCAATTAAGAAACAAAATACACTCCCTCTCATTAGCAGTACATAAAGCTTCCCCGTGAAGTTAGAAACACGAAGCTCATTCCCGATAACCACTTCAGCAGGAATGGTTGACGCAATAAACCGACCTGCTTTTCCACCGCGCTTCTGCGAGTGCACTTGGGCGCCCCCGTAGGTCATAAAAATCGGATAATACTAATAGAAATATGACAAAACAGTAGACGCAATTTTAATTGAGTAGTATCCTTCGCGATTGGAGCAGCAACACTGATCAACACCGGAGGCCCCATCTTTCGCTTAGGCGCAAACTGTGGGCACTTGCCTCGCACATGTGCATCCAAACGCCTGCCGTACTTTCAATTTCAAATACACAAGCTGCCCTCTGAAATTTGCGTTTCGTCAATTTAAATGACTTTACGTAAGTCTCTCTCCGAAATTGCTGAATTTTGCTGTCAGTTTTATTCTGATATGGCAACAAAACGCAGGGACTGCGACAGAAGATATCCGCGCCAACGTCCCTGGTACTGGAAGATAGCGCAAAGCCATAGTATTGATAAACGCCATGCTTGAGATGCCAAACATAATACTATTTTGACACAAAGCGATATCGTCACAGTGATTGCGACGGAACAGAAATGGGTGCGATGGCATCAAATAGTGTCAAGTGACATCACAGCTGGCATTGGAATGTGTGGTTTTCTGCTGGAGTAAGAAATGACGATATGCTTGCTGGATTGGTCCGCTTTTAAATGCAAACTCCTTCACAGCATTGCTTGTCTCCCGCTTGAACGTTGTTTCAAAAGTCTGAGCTACGAACTTTCGTCAGCCACTCAAACGAAAATACCACTATCATCAGACACATCCATCGACTCAAAAGTAGGCACAATAATTTGTCTGACACCATGTCGAATCTAGGCTTACATAGTACATTACCAAGATATAAACAAGTCGTTCATTTATGTTCATGCTTAAGGTTCACACCAGCGCACACGTGATCATGCAAAAACTTGCTGCTAATAATTTCGCAGTGGTGGTACAAGCATACACAGCATTACCTCTGCGTAAATAGCTCCCCCGAAAGTAGTAGCCGTTTTGTTGTCAGTGGAAATCTTGTTTCGAGTGAAGTTGGTATTCTCCACTTTGATTCTCGCACCACGAATGGTGATGGCACCACCAGAGGAAGTGGCGGTGTTGTCTTCAAATATCGACTCATCAATAAGAGCTTGGTAACCCTTTTCGAAAGTCGATTGCAACGAGCTTCTCGAGTTTTCCTGAAGCATGCGTTTGCAGGTAAATTGGAATTTCCACATGAAGGTACGGAGAAGCTGCAGACAAGGCGTCCAGCACAGACCACAGATACATGAGCTCGATTGCATAACATAGTGGTGCGCCTAAACATATTCGTCACAGAAAACTTCGTTTCCTCCTTCGAAATATTTCAGAAAGACGTGTGCCTCGTGATTGCAAATTGGTACAGGGATGCGAACCACCAGGTAATGGAAATCACCTAACGAACTGAGAAGAACGAATGAATCTGGCAGCTAACAATCGCGACGCACCTGAATGTACATGGCGCCCCCGCTAGTGGCAACATTGCCTAGAAACCTGCATCCGCTTTTGGCTTTTATGCTTGTGCCAAGCTGCACATGACACAAAAAGATGTCATGACAAAGGCATGAAAGCTAGATGGGAACTTTATTTATTGGAGCTACCACACCGCACTTGTTTCTGGCCGCCGCTTTGACAAAATCAAGAAAAAAACTTTCGAAGCAGGTCCCCAAGATAGATTTGGAAAATTGGATACTATTAACTTGAATTCCTGCATTTTTCAGTATGTTTCCAAGCAGCAACGGTTGATCTAAATATTCCTGTTACTTTGCTTCGTCATCTTGATGTGAGGCGTGCATAAGACAATGGCAGATCTGTCAAGTGTCTCTGTTCACAATGGGGTAGTAGTGCATTCTTGCAGAACAGCTCTGAAAAAATTAGGATAAATGTGCTGTAGCTGGTCCAAAGATTGCCACTAAGCAAGTTCACTTACCTCTCCGCAAACGGCTCCCCCGGATCCTGAAGCACTGTTGTTGATAAAACTACAATTCTGGGCTCCTACTGTGGAGCTCCCCTGTAAGCATGAACGCAAAGCAAGCTCTAATCACTCAGCATGGCCTGTTATTTTGAAATTTGGGATAGTTCGCATGTTATAAAGAACAATCTGTGTGACACACAAAATACAGGGCTGGACAACTGTGCGTGCCACACGCACACGGTCCTCTGTCTAACCTGGCATCAATGTGGCAAATTGCACAGTGGCAGGGAACGCCACCCGTGAAAAATCCCTGGCCTGGCTCCAGGGCTGTTAAGCCAAAATAATTGAACATATAAAACAGTTGGACCTTAATGGAACACGCTAAACCATTGTTGTTCTTGACGCTTAACATAATGACAATGGCTCTGAACCTGTGCATCGTGTCCAGAAGGCACTGGGTGGATAGAACATTTCAGTTAGCAAGATTTGCCAAAAGCTGCCTTACTGAAGTGCTTCAATGCAACATTTTGACTGTGCGAGCTTTTTAGTTGGTCAACATGGCAGAGATGTAAGCTGGTTGGAACTATCGATGGTTGAAACTTTTAGGCAGCGTTGGTGCTGTCAAATTAGCTTCTTGAAGTGGGCAGTGTTGCAGGGCAAATTCTCATGGTTTATATGCATGTGGCCCATACACAGCTCCAGCTTCTGCAGGTGGATGGGCACCATTTGAATAGGCCTGGGTCAGCGCTTGCACCAATCAAGTTTATGCATCTCAAAAAATGCCTGAAAGCACAAACGGCAAGGGGATTTGAGCACCATCGAATGGTGGTTATTTTCAAGCCACAGAAACATAAACATTACATGTGCAGACAGGACAGTGCTCCCCAAATAATGTGTAGAAACAATCCGTGGATGTGCCTGCATGGCAAAGATTTGCATTTTACCAGAATGATTGCGAAAATCCAAGCATCATTGATGATAGCAGCCAATAGAGATTTGTGCCATTCAGGTGTGAACAGAGAATTAGAGAGGGAACATACGTGCAAGTGGAGGGCAGTGTCACGCACCAATGTGACATCAGTGGAAACGAGGGCTTTGCAAACAACTGTAGCTGTGCAGGAATGCATTATGTAGCTTCCTTTGGTAGCAGCAGAACTGCAAGACGTATATGTATGTATCATAGATTTGCCACTTTCTTTGATGTTATTGATGTCATAGATGTTATTCCTTACATTAATCCACAGCACGATATCTATGATAAACGAAAAAGGTCAGAGAATTGTTTACAACGTGTTTTTTAAAGCACTGATACAGAATTTACTTGTTTGAGAGGCTGCTCTATTGGCAATAATATCACCTGTGCGAAAACGGCTCCACCCTTACTCCCAGCTGTGTTGTCATTGATGCCAGCTCTGTTGCCTGCAAAGCTGCTATTTGTGATGCTCAGCTTTCCATTGTACATACTGATCACACCACCAGAAGTCGAAGCTGTGTTGACTTCAAACCTTGAACTGGCAATTGAAGTGCTCCCACCAGCACCAATATCCAACACAGTCCCAAAGTTGCCCCTGTTGTTCTGAAATATGGAGCCTTCTAAATGCAAATAGCACCCAGCAAGCACCCGGATGCCTACTGTCCCATTGACATTTGAGTTGCCTCTGAATCTCATGTTCATCATGGTCACAGCCGTTTCTTGAGAAGAACAATTTGCTACCACCACCAAGGGTCCAGCTTGTGAACAACCACTGAATGAGATGTCGGTGAGCACCACTCCTTGTGATCTGATTGCATAACATAAAGACATTCAGATAGGAATGATGAAATGCTGAATCATTGCTCCAGTAAGTGCAAGCAAGTCAAATGCATTGTTCTTGTCAACATGCAAACTCATTGGCCCAGACTGGAAAATTTGCTGTAGAATATTACCAGAATCCCAGCCAGCCCTACACGCACTAGCGAAAAGGTTCATTTCTGGGATGGGTCTAGCAATGTCACTGGGATGTGTCCTGGCACGGGATAGGTACCGAATGGTTTGCACGCTGGGATTTCTCCAGAACACTGTGGGGACACATTCCAACATGCAACCCAACTGGAGTGTTTACTGGGACACCATTTGGATGCTGGCAAGGACATAGATACTGTCTTGGGATGCATCTGGGATGCCTCCCAGTAAGCATTGCTTAGGGTCGATTGATGTTCCTATTGAGAAGCTTACTGGGATGCACAGGATGCTTCTGGAACGTGCCCTAGCAGTGGGGGTTTCTGCTAATGACAGATTAGTCGCAGGTGAAGACGTGTTGCATTGTTTTTAGTAATTTTCATCAACTCTACATTGCTCAATATTGGCGCAATCTGAGTGGGGTACCGAGCAGCTCCCATCTTGCCAGCATTGTGCTTTCACCTCCGTTTCTGCACCCACCTCAGGCCCTTATGGCTGAATCACAGGCTCAAATGACTCAAACGTGGGTTGCAGAAGGTAGTGGACATTCCCTGGCCTGACAGCGGAGCTGGATGCTGCAATTGGCTGGTTGCTTGTCCCAACATGCACATGGCACCACTATTTTGGCAGGCTTGGGCTCCTCTCTTGGTGCCCTGCATGCTGTATTGGAATATTTAAGCTTTGTAGTTGCTTTTATCTGCTGCCAGTGCATGCAATTCAGCAATTTAAATGTTGTATGCACTGTGTTCTACCTATTTGCTTGGCCCACTCTCTTGTCATGTTGGCAGGATCAGCGCTTGGCAGACGTTTGTGCATCCATCATGTCCCATCACCTCGATGTTGCTATTTTGGCTGTTTTGTCCACCATTCTTGTCCATCTTGATAATTTGATACACTTTCTCGAACGCATTCAGATTGTGAATCATCTTAAATCTTCGCTTACATTTGTATATTGAATTTGTGTACACCAACATGGAATTTGTTGTTGGAAATACAGCGGAACCAAGAAGAAGAGATTGCCACAAGAAGGAAGGCTGTGTAACTCACCGAATATCGACGATTGTACTTCCAGATGCACAGCCAAATTCCACCTCGGTTTCATTGGCACCTCTAATTGACAGAGGCTTGTTGACCACGATGGTTGACGTGATGTGCACAACAGGGGTTGTGAAGAATATGGTGCTGTTGGGCATGGCACAGTCCACAAAAAATTGGACATCGTTACCCGTCCGTCTCAATGCATCTTGTGTCACAAGGATGGCGTCTTGGAATGGTACATTGTCACCCATGAATGACCCACATGACAGTTGGCTGCTGCCATCTGTGATTACCACACACACGTTGCAGAGATGTAATCAGCACAAATATAACACGTTGAGATGGCAATACCAGTGCGTTTGCAAGATGCACAAATGGTGCCACAGAATATTGAAATGTTTAGACATTGTTTGGCGGCTTCTCACTGCATCCTGTCAACTCGTTTTAAGCAAATTCTTAGCTTGCAAAACACTGTACAACTATGTGGACAATATCGACACCTTGATTAAAAGTTTGTTATTGTCTCCGTTTCCAGGCACAAGTGCTACATGACTCACCCAGCCCAGAAGCGCAGGTAATGGCAAATAGGCAAAGCACAGTAGTTGGTGCAAATCTGGCATGTTTCATCCCCATCATTGTGAAATCTGCATCAGAGTCACACACGCACACGGCCCTTGGTCGGCATTACTCAACATCAACCAGCAAGAGAGGGAAACTGTGTTCTTCACCCCGACCAATCGAGGGGGTGGGGGAGGGAAGATCTAAACAACAAGAAACTCGGCTGGGGCAGCATTGAGCAGCACCACGTCGCACCAAGTTGACCACTGCCGTTAACTGCATGAAGCATGATAAATAGTGGGTTCACTGCTCCGGAAGAAACGTTCTGGCATCCTGAGCGCTAGAGCTGACTTTCCTCCACCCCACATTCGACCTTTAGAAATGGTCACGTAGATATGCACACCTCGTCAGGGTTTTTGCAATGCAAATCTAAATGTGTGCAGTGCGTTTGGGTTGTTGGACTGGAAGTGTTCTCCACTTTCGGTTTTCCAAATGAGAAAGGAAACGTGCGCCTTAAAACTGAATTCTAAAATGGGAATGCAGTCCCTTTTTCTCAAATGTTTGATGAGCTCAATGGAATGCAAACAAGGGAAATTTAGTCTGTGCCAAAAGCAATCACCAGAAGTGACACGCATCAGCCCAGTGAGGCGTGAATGAGGAGGGAATGAGCTGGGGTGGGTAATGTGCTCATTGATCAAGAATGCAGGTCTGTGTTCTGCATGTATTCAATGCCCACATCTAAATTCTGTGCCATTGCTTCAAAAATCGGTTCAGCAGAAAGGGTTGAAATGCCTTTACAGATCTCCATTTCGCGAGGTGTCAATCCATGAAGCCGTCAACAATGGGTATATCCAATATACTATATTGAGAAGCTAGAATGCTTCAGGTGCCAAAGAGTTGGTAGACTGAGGATCAGACAATCCCGGTCACTGCATTTTGACAGGATCCTCTAGATCTTCGAGGGCCTTGGACACTAGATGTTCGATTCTTTGATAAATGAACACTTCACGACGTACTGGACAATCACGTCGTAGTTGTCCCCCTGCTGGCCTTGGTAGCACGTGTATACACATTTTGCAGCATGTAGCACAAACGTGGCAAGGGCGTGGGCGGCTGCTTCTAGGGTTTAAAACGCTGGTGGCAAGGATTTGTGCGTTTGATATCGCAAGACCTGGTTGGCAGAAGACATGCGGTGATTTCGGCATTGGCAGTTGATTGCTGAAACAGACATGTTTGCTCAAGGGGGGGGGGGAGGACACGATGGAGGTTGACGTGGGCGGGGCCAGGGGTCGAGCACGTGAAAAACGTGATCAAAACCAGTGAAACTCTAATGTACTGGCCGGCGTCCTGCCAAGCAAGACGTAATGATATTGTCACCGCAGCGCCATGCCAACATCCTCATGACCGCATCCTCATAGGCCAGACGCGCCGATCGATGCGCATGGCGGAACGCTCTGGGCAGCGCCACCAAAAGAGTGACCAGCCAGCCGCAGGGCAGTCGACGGGCCCCACTCTCGGCGCCGGGGCCAACGGCTCGAGACTGCGTGAGGGCGCGAGGTGGGAGGGCGGACCGCGGCAGGATTCTCACTCGGACTTGGCTGGTCAACGCTGGCCAACGTTGCTGAACGCTGGTAATATTACCGCCATGCGGCCTCGAAACAGACGCGGAGGGTCGGCGGGAGCGCCCCAGCGGCTGGTGGGTCGCCCCGCGCTCTTGGGGCCCATCGGGCCCATTCGCCGGAGGCCTTGGATCCGTCAACATCGCGGCTGTCGACGCCATGCCCATTGCGCGTCCCAAGACCGGTCCCGCGCACGAGGCCCGCATATGGCGCCCTCCCTCTCCACCCACCCCGGGTCGCAGACGACATTGCGTGAAAATCCTTCGACTCATGTCCTCGCCGCCGCCCCGCGGTACGTCTCGGTGGCCAAGCGCTCGGCTCGCGCCATGGACAGCCCCTCCCCGCCCCCTCTCGCGCCGCCTCGCCCTCACCTCGCCCGCCATTTGCACCACCGGTGTTCCCGGCTGCGCCGCCCAAATGTCACTCCGCGCGTTCCTTCGCGAGCAGACGGCGGGCCCCCAATCGTGCCGACGCCCGGTGGCCAGGCCCCCACCCCAGGCATCGGTGAGGCCCGCACCGCTGTATTCGTCCCCTGAACCCCATATCAGAACACAACTGCAACACAGGGTCCCAGCCCCAGGGATGGCGAATTCCCGACGCAGGATTCATGATTTTCCACGGCGGGCCCGCCGACACAGCAGGAATTCATACCGCGGAGACCGCCGCGCGAGGGGGGCCAGCGATCCGCCGACGCACCAAGCCCCCGCCCCTCCCTCCCCGTCCGTTCTTCCGAGCCCTCTGATCCCGATCTGGTCAGTTGCATCGTCGACCGGCCGCTCCAGGAGCCCGCAACCGCCACGCTTTTGCGTCGCTTGCGCCAAATGATCGACCTTAGCTGATCCTCGCAAAGACCCTTTTCCCCCCGCACCCCCCGCCGCCCACCGCCATCCCCGCACCGCCGGCCCCGTCGCAGACACCCCCAGGTCCCAAAACCAGGGCGCCAGCCTGGGTGCCGATTTGCAGCCGCATGCAACACGGCCCCTCGCAACGGGCTACCCACCCACCTCAGCCCCCAGCCACCCTCTTCTCTCTCCCCCCCTAACCTCACCCCTTTTTCTGTGCAGATCGCGTCGAGGAGCCCCAGTCTAGGTGGTCGCTTATCTGCCTCAGCGTCCCCTGTTTCGCGTGTGAAGTCGCTCCCCTGCGATGCGTTTCGGAGTCTGTGGCAACCGCCGCTGCTCCGCCGCTTATTAGTTGCTCGTCTCAGCGAGGGGGCGCTCGCTGAGTGTTGCTAATGCGGTCGGGCAGCGGAAAGGGAACATTGTCGTTGGTGATGTTATCGTGACAAATAGGCTGTATGGTTGCCTGGAACGGGGATGTCGCTGATTTGGCAAACGTTTGTAACGTATCCATGTTTGGGATCCTGTCAGCTGCATGGACATTTAAGGGGTTGGACTGCCCTCTTCTTCACTCCTGGCCAGGTGGTTTGGTAGAGCAGTAGGACATCCAACGGAGGCACACGGTTCGATCGCCGGTCGGACGTTCTCTTCACCATCCGCACTCAAACAGATCTGTCTGCGACTGCGCTCAGTCCAGCTCGTTCCTGGACGCCACCGGACAGCGAACAGTTGGCGAACCAACAGCAAGTACCAATCTGATGCGTGACAAATGTGAAGGCCGAATCAGCTTATGCCACAAAGTGTTGCGACATGTGGTTTGGAATGGCACAAAAGGTGCGGCTGGCGCTGAGATGCAGTGGCGTGCATCGAAGCCGGTCCACCTTGCCAATGACCGCTTGGCCGCGGGTTGGAATCCCTACCCGATCAAATTCTTCCACAGCTTAGGACTTGGAGGCCGGGCGGCCCTGCCTCCTGGGTTGTGGAATCTCCGCGATCTCAATATCCTGATCCATGGTATCAGCATCTATACCAGTTGGCATGGCAGAGCTGGCCTCCTCAATCTCCGCGGCGTGGATAACCTTTCCCACCGCTTCTTGGTTCCTCTGTCCCTGCCTTCTCTAGCCTGCATGCCTTCAAATTGTATCTCCACAGCTCACAAGCTGCCTGACCTCCTTGTTCCCGCCTATTAAGCCCGCAGCCTTGCGGTTCTTTCGCTCGTGTTTTTGCAAAATAAGCGCGCTTGTGGATTGATCTGAAAAAGCGAGGGCTGGTGGGGTGGGTGGGGTGGGTGAGGTGGGTGGGTGGACACAGCTTAAGAACCGGCTAAGGCATTGCCTTTTGTCGGATCTTCATGGAAATCTCTGGCAAATGCTCTATGATTAAGTTCATGGCGCTGCGTAACTTAAATGTCTCGATGGATCGAATTCCAGCGAACGTATGATAGCGAGGGTGATTCCGCGCTTGACAGAAGCGCATCCTCGAGTGTTTGTTTGTTGATTAGGAGCACCGTTGCTTAAGCTAAATCCAGTGCCCGGGACTAAATACTAGAAAGCCTGAACGAACGATTCCCGCCCATCAGTCTTGTGAATGTTTGCATGCAAGCAGTGCAAGGCGCTCTCAATTGCAGCATTCTCAAGAAGCTCGTTGCAAGTGCTCTATCTCATGTGGTCCGCGCCTTGCCCTTTTCTGGTCCGTTGTCCCATCGTATCTGGAACGGGTGTTTCAAAGCGCAGACATGGAGAGAAGTGGTGCACACACAATAACAACGACGCACGCATTAAATCAGAATGTTCCTGTGCACGACAATGACCTGGTCTGCTAAACCAGATGGCCACACAGTAGAAGTCGAACTTCTTAATTCGCACTCCAAGTCGTGAGATTGTGTCAGAGTCGCGTTCCGCCGCCGTTTTGCTGTCATTAACTGATCGGAGTAACCCCAACATCCTGTGCTCAGGTGAGCTCCATCGTTGAATCCAGATTATTAGAAGCCGTTGTCCGCCGATAAGCATTGTCTGCATTTACCGCACCCCCCACCCCCCCACCCCCCTGCTGGTCGACGCCATGTTCACCATCTTCTTTCACCCCCGCGGAAGCACATACACCACGACGATGGACACCTTTGTCGCAAAGCTGGCGTCGACACTAAGGCAATTCCGTTCTTCCTCAGAAAAGGGTCAATTCCCTGTACTAGCTCTAGTGCTAAATTCACCACCACAGGGTAAAGAAAGATACTCGCGATGCATGAAACGAAGGCGACAGAAACGACGACCAAGCCCAATGAAAAAATGTTTGGGTTATTCAAGATGATTGCCGAAAAGAACGCCATGAAAGATCCCACGAGAAGCAACAGCTCCATTTTGCTCAAATTGGGGCCATCGGTCACGAGCGAGTGGCTGCGCCAGCAAATGAATGACGACGGCGGCCATGCGCATTGCGATTGCCAGAGTGGATTGGAGGTCTGCCCCGAGTGACAGCTTGAACACCTCAATCGCTGCCAGAAGCCCTCTTCGAAGCATGGCAACCACCTCCCACCAAAGCCGACGACCTTTGCAACATGACTGGTACAGAAAAACGTGCGCTTCAACGCGCCCTCTACCGAGTCGGTTTCTGTTCCAAACGA